TTTGATAAGGTTTTTTTCTACTAAACTGTTTGTGTCGTATGTGCAACATTGCGCATTTACGTTCAAACAAATTTGAATTTTTACTTGATACTCAGTAGTGATATATTTAGAAAAATTTACCTGCTTTTGTTTGCCTTTTTACAGCGTGCCGAGATCGCTGAATAAACGAGACATCGAAGAATATCTGCAGACTGGATCAGTCCGAGGATGACTTGGAATTCTCAGAAGAAGAAGAGCATGATGAAGAAGTTTACTATGAGAATAATCGTCAATTATTAGCGGATTTAGAATATTGTGATGAAGATTTGGGACCAACTGGTAATACCGTTGTGCAGCTAACTCGGATTATGCCAAGACGTGTCAACCACATTATTTATTTCGACAACTATTACACATCTGTGCCATTGATCACTTACGTTGCAAAAGAAGAAATATATTGCTCAGGAACTGTACAGGCGAATCGCATACCTAATAACAGGCTTCCGGTTAAGAAAACTCTGATGAAAAAAACAGTAGCAAGAGGATACTATGAGGAACAGGTTGCCAATGAAGATGGTATCGACATTAGCGCTGTTGTATGGAAAGACAACAAGCCTGTGACTTTGATGTTAACCTATACTGGACCCTTGCCTGTGACTACAATTATGAGGTATGATAAAACGACGAAACAGCGGATTCCAATAGATTGCCCCAATGTGATAAAAGACTACAATACCCACATGGGAGGAGTGGATCTCCTTGATAGTTTTATGGAAGGTACCATGTTACTCGCAAAAGCAGAAAGTGGACAAATCGCTTGTTTTTCCATCTTCTGGACGTTACAGTCGTAAATTCGTGGCTACTGTACAAGAAATCTCTGAAACTGAACAAATCTTCCATAAAGCCATTGAATCTGTGCAATTAAGACTTGAGCTGGCCCATACCTTAAGTATGCAATCTTGGACAAAAAGGAAATGGTACCAAAAGGGGTCGCCCAAGCACTTCATCTTTAGAAGCTGAATTTCAACTAAAAAAGAAGCGTGGACCAGCTCAAACTATGCCTCCGAAAGATATCCGACAAAATACAATAGATCACTGGCAAAAATGGGGGGATCGGGCCAGATGTAAATACCCTAATTGTAAGGGATATACATTCACTTATTGTGAAAAATGTAGAGTAAGCTTATGTTACAACAGAGACAATAATTGTTTTTATAAATTTCATCATGAATAAATAAAGAACTTTGAATTTGTATCTATTTGAGTTTGTTATTGATGACCTCATTCTTTCCATACATAGCATAATTCGATGACTGCGCACTGTTGCACATATGCAACACACACTTTTTTGTATCTTTATATCAATACTATATATTTTTGACCATTTTTTTTTGCTCTATAGATCCTAATATGATTAGAATAATATATTTATAAACGATTACAAAATTCGCGCATTTAATAATTGTTAAATATTGATATGTATATTGAATCACCAAATACTTTGTAGTTATCGCTCACTAAGACCAAGTGAAAGCAATTCATAAACTCTGTTAGAAGACTACTTGAATATGTACATTGAGTCCTCTTAAAAGTATTGTTTTAGTTTGTGATATCAATATCTTCTATAAGTATATATATATAAAAATGGAATGCTGTTCCTTAGTCTCGCTAAAACTCAAGAACAGCTCAGCGGATTTATATTATCTTAGTCTTGAAATGTTCGTGGAGGTTCAGGGAAGGTATAAAAGCTGAAAAAAATTGATTAATTACTGGGAAAACCATAAAAACAGCCCTTTTCTATATCCCATACAAACTTTTTTTTTTGACATTAGATTTGACACCTAACTAATATGTCAATCATTCTGTCGCACTTCAAAACACGGAGATTTATGGCTTACAGGTAAACTCCAAAAATATAAATAAAAAAACGTAATAGATACTTCTTGATTATAGGGCGATACGAAGTTCGCCGGGTCTTCTAGTTATACAATAAAACAATTGAACTATATTATAAACTAGCTTTCCGCCCGCGTGTAGTTCGGTTATATCGCGTTTCCAAGAGATCCTTTCAAGTCTGGGATAAAAACTATCCTATGTTCTTACTCAAGGTCAACTCTATCTCTGTACCAAATTTCATTAAAATCAGTTCAGTGGTTTAGGCGTGAAAGCGTTCTGTTACTTTCGCATTTATAATATTAGTAGGGATATAAAAATCTCATTAATTATATTAAAAGAATGATGAAGGATCACTTTGAAAACAAAATTATTATAAGACTTCTTAAAAATTTCTCAAACATAACGAAATATATAAATATTATATACTAGTTGAAAATAAAACAAAATAAATCGAATATTTTTATTTTTTATTCTTTAAGTCACCACACTTATGACACAATAAGGATGGGAATATTCATTTACATTTACAACTCACGACTCCGCTGTACCGAACAAACATTACGAGCAAACGAACGGCCGCTGACCAAATAAAATATATTAAACAGACCAGACGTACAACATATAAATTACATATCTGGCATCGACTGGCAGGAATTGTTCGAAAAAAATTAAAGCGAAATTCGGTTTTTTAAATACACTTACATATAAAAAAGCGATAAAAAAAAATCATATAAAACCCACGAACCATCACAACCTACATGTCTGATCACAGTTAACTTCCTTTTACAACTACCTCCAGTCCACACTACGCTACTATACAAAGAACATAACATTACATACACACAGATGGAGAATAAACGAGGAAATATTCACAAATATATAAGCGGTCCACATATATTTGTATTGGAATGATAATTTATAAAAAGCATACATACTTAACGTGGCACTTCACTTTGCGTTGCGTATTCGCCGCATTTGTCCAAATATTTGTACGTAGTCCAAATAGCGCAAACATGACATCCACACTTGGCATGCCAACAACACGTTACGTGTTTTCGCTTATTTGTATATGTGTCTTATTTGTGCAAATAGGTCAAATAAAGACGAATGTATCCTCCACACATGGTTATTTGACTGAACACAACAAATAAACGCCAAGTGAAGTGCCACCTTTATATTACTTAAACACAAAATGTACTTTAATGATACATATTTAAATAAGACGCGTTACATTAGGAGACGTTCTTGTACTTTAATATCAATATGGCGAATAAAAAACAATCACAAAACATTGGTACGGAACCCGTTTTTTATTATACAATACGTATTTATTATGTATGAAATAATAACTCGTATAAAAAAACTTCTCGAATATGCCAAAGAATATAATTAAATGAACATTAAGATATCGCCCCTTAACTTACAACATCGCTTACGTCATTTTTACCAACTTTATATAAGACGAAGCAAACTGTCTACTTTAAACTATCGCTGTTTCTTTTCTATTGCTACTTAATACATACACTAGTTAGCGGTTAAGACATCTTTTTTTATACATATTTTGACGATTTCGGTTCGACGCGCAATGCGCAGCTTCATCTAATGGCATTAAAAAGTAAAAAACCGACAACTTTCGACTTGAGCGGCGTTGTCAACTAAGGGACGATAATGAAGAATGTATTTTTTAATAAAAAACCATGTCATTTTAACTAATTTTTTACGAGTATTTTCCTATTCGTGTTATTATTTGTTTACATTTGTTTACACTAGAGGGTGGTTAAGAAACAAAGCAAGCACCGGTAAGAGGTAGACTCAGCGTTACATAAACATGTCGGCTTACAGACAGATACTCCTAGTTAAATGACGATCACATTTAAATTTTAATATTAAATTATACTGTAACAATCATATTATTATTATTTTGATGTATCACACAATATACTTCAAACGTTCAAACGATTTTTAAAGTGAAACTTCTTATGCAACTTCTAACATGGTTGCGTTAAATGTTTAACGCTTGGGCATAAAAAGAGAGGGGATGAGTGGCGCGTTAAGTTGTGAGTGCAATCAATTATGACTTGTAAGCATTGTTTTAATTTCATTATTACGAAGTTTCACTTCATCTTCGGAGAGAGTCTATTACTATAATTTTTTTATTATGTATAAACAAGTTACGAAATTAAACCTAAATTCTCATCACACATATCAATACAGTTTTTTCTTGTTCGCAGCATTATTTAATTAATATTTAATAACATAAGCAGTTGTAGTTTTTGCGTAGTTTTAACTCCTGGGCTCCGTTACATTTTCATTTCTTCTACAATATGTATGTACATCCAACACTATCTCTATCCCGCGACCTTACTTCTGTTTCTTATGTACATATTATCACTAACTTATCATTGTGGATCAAGGTGACGCATCAGTTACTAAGTACACGTGGACGATATTAAGCGGAATCTCGCAATCAAAAAATTTCAGTCTGTTATTATTAAATCACTTATATTATTGTGTATAATTGATCATATATATCTTAATGGTGCGATCTCGTATGTTTTGTTATTATATATTATTCTTATATACGTTATATTTACATATATAACCTCAACTCCACAACGGCCTAAACTATGTGTATGGCAAATCGTCTCTAGTCAACATCAACCTGTATCTTGTACGTATTATCCGCAACTTCTGCTACACTTGCACCTGGAAAATATTTGTATGGAAATATTAATTATATGAGAGAATACAGCATGATGTATAAATATAGAAAGTTTTTTTAAGTTACACGCATTATAATTTTTAAATAACACATAACGGGGATGAGCATTCATAACATGCTCTTACTGATAAATTTATGTATAAAAAACATTACAATAAGATCATCTAAGACTTTCGCGAGTATTCATTTAAATGAAACTAATATTATTCGGATTACTTCACGTGTACTATTTTTAACTACAGATCATGAAATTTCCGTTATTTTGTAACAACCGTGATCTTTTTGTCGGTCCAGTTACTGCAAAGTAACCGAAACGACGGCAGTATGAAGTTAAAATTAACTATAAACTCATAGTAATCTGTAATATAAGTTTTATTCATCATTTCCTATGTACCTTGCGCGTTCAGTGGAACTCCTTGATGCAGAGCGCGCACGACCAGGAGCCCTCGGGCGGCGCGTCCAGCGGCGGCGCCAGGCAGTACATGTGGTAGCCGCGGTCACAGTCGTCACAGAACAACAGCTGGTCCTATAACATGTTACAGACAGACTGAGTCTAGACTGAAGCTTGGTCTCAGACTAGGTTTTTTATGTCAAAGGTGGCAAACGAGTATACGGCCTGCTTGATGAGCAGTAGTGTCGTCGCACATAGACATCTACAACATAAATGTTGGGGATGCATTGTTAAATTTAATTGTTGAAGAAAAGGGAGGGGTGGGAATAATTAAATTGTAAAAAAGCATGAGAATAGTGAAAGTACAACCGTCTCTCTCACTCATCGGACGAAACGCAGCCATTAAAAACTACTCCACGCCGATCTTCTGTGAGAGAGTGGTACTTCCCCGGTAAAGCCAGCCCATATTCGACCTATAGTAACTTGACCACAGCTAGGATCTACCACCTAATTAAGTCTAGACTGGAATTTCAGTCTCAGTCTAGACTGGTTCCAATAGTATACTAACATCGTTGTCGCTGGTTCCGCAGACCGAACAACACTTGCACTCGATGCACTGCCAGCGATACTTCCTCACTGACACGATCATGTTCACAGTAAACTGGAGACATGTAGGATGACCTGATGATGAAGAACATCTAATTATATATCATATAATATATATGTAATATTTTCACTAGTTATAGGGCACATTATCTTACCTTAGCCGGACGTAGCAGCTTCTTTAATATTAATGTAATATTTATTATAAGGTAATGTGCCGAACAATAGTGAAAATAAATATAAAACAATATAATGATATAGATTTTATTATTTATAAAACATAGAGTATCACGGAATGATTGTAAGGAAGTGCAATTCACTATTCTTCAGCACAGCTATCAGCAATGAAAGTAAACAACGTGTGTAGAGTACAGTTTAATATATAAACAGTTTAAGGGTACAAAAAACATGATTAGACAGAATCAGCGGTAAGGCTGCTCGCGGACCGGGCGGTAAGGACCGTACGCAGCGCCGTCTGCAGTCAGCCTTAAATATATGCACTTCCGTACTAGCATTTCTGATACTTCTGATTAATCTATTAAAATAATGAGACTTGTAACGCTAACAATATATCTATTTGCCTTTAGATACGATCATCTAAATATTATGCTACAACAATTAAAATAACTCTGTGGTAACAGATATATATAATAAATTGTAACCAAATTAAAAACATTAAACAAGATAATATGAAAAGACTATAAAATCCTATAAAAAAAAAATAATAGGAACTAAAAACGTGTGTTCAACGAATGTGTGTAACGTTGTTCTGAGAGCCGTTAATGTAACATAATAAAATAATTAAAATCTTTAAATATAAAAACTTATATGATAAACAAATAATTATTTCTCCAATTTGGTTACTCATGTCTTAACAACTATATATAACTATATATATATATTAAAACGAGAAGGAATGCTACCAACATGACTTATAATTAACAATAAAACAATTCTTTGGGATATGAAACGTTCCAAGGCACTTTCAAGCTCTATATATTGTGTGTGAGCCAGTGTAAGTACAAACAATTCCTAAAACGTCTTGTACATTAATATGTCAAGTCAGGGTGACTAGACGATACACCAGTGTCCATTCTTAACATTCCCAATAACAATTTTAATAATATCTATTATATATAATATGTATATATTACTTTAGATCCGAGTTATACAAACTTTGGTTCACTAAAACCCCAATACGAGGCTCATTAATCATTAAAAACATAAAAATTTGGCTTAATGGCAACCATACATCACATAGACATTACAATTACACATTCCCTAACACAATTATATAAAAACTTGATATATGAAAAACATTTAATATCCGCTAGAGTCTATCTAGATATATAAATATAAATTCCGAGCGCTCTATCATATACCATCTATATACTCTACAACATAATGTAAACCAATATATATATATTATTATTATTTTCAACAATAATATTATTATTTAGTGTATAACACGTGACGTCAGACATTCATTCCCGTCGTGCTGTATATATAAGGACAACTAAACAAACATCTATAACAGTATATATATGGAATGTATGTGTGAGTGTACACTTTGGTAGGTCGCTGTGTTTATGTGTGTGTGTCTTCTTGTGTATGTGTGTGTATGAGTGTCTGTCTGTGTTTATGTCTGTCTGTGTGTGTGTGTGTCCGTGTGTATGTGTGTCTCTGTTCGTGTATATGAGCGTCTGTGTGTGTGTGTGTGTGTGTGTGTGTCTGTGTGTGTGTGTCTGTGTATGTATGTCTGTGTATGTGTGTGTGTGTGTTCACGCTCGGTTCCCGTTCATCCTCGGGCTGGGCGGCGCGTGTTCGTACTGGCAGTGCTCCAGCAGTCGTGTCCGCGAGGCGAAGGCGTCGAAGTCGTTCTCGGAGAACGTCCTATGTCCGAGCCCCCGCGCGTGCGTCCTCCGGGCCTTCGCCCCCCGCGGCCGGCCCCTCCTCTTACCTGAGCGGCCACAGTCGGAGCAGCTCACTAGTCTCTCGGGCGTGCCGGTCTTCTTGTTCTCACGGTCGTCACCGAGGCAGAAGTCGCAGTACGGGGATGGCGACACCTGGAAATATATATACTGACGTCACACACGATTTGGTATAAGACTGGTGGATGACCATATGGCTCGTGTTCAAGGCGATAAGGCTCAATTTTGAATGTGCGGAAATATTCGTAATGAAGAGACGTGTGAACGTTGTAGTGGTTTATTAGTAACTAATAGTTAAATCTTACAAAGCAGTGGACTGTATCACATGTATCACATCATTATCAATATAAATAATATTAACTTCTAATAAAGAGCGAGCCAATCAGCTGTGTGGTACGTCTTATCTTAGACAGCGCTATAGTCCCAAAAATAGTATGTAGGTATGTTTAATGTAGGATTTGACCACTATTCACGAACTAATATTATCATAGTTATACAGGGTGTATGAAAAACTGTGTCAACCCTTGAAGTCATGTATACATATAAGTATAAGCTTATTATAAAAAATAGTATAACTTAAAAAATATCAAGCAGACGTCAGTTACAGTGCATAGGCAAATAAGTTTTAAATCGACATTATTCGAAAAAATGTTCCAAACATCTGACTCATACAAGGTCAAGACACCATATAGTCGCAACGGCGCATGCGTGACCATTGACCGCAGGCGACGGGCCGCCGGCGTTATTATTACTATTCTGTTAGTTGTTCGAATAGAGATTTGAAAGTGTAAAAATTTGTTATATCGATAGATATTCTATCGACATTTTCAATATTGCTATAAATAGTTATGCTTTTCACATTAAAATAATTTCATTTAAAATAACTTTTATTAATAATAAATATTATAATTTGAAACTTGTTCAGGTAAATTAACTACATATGTTGTATTATTAGGATAAATCGTTAATCTATTTATGTTAAAAATGGTGTTTTACAATCAAACATAATATTAATGTTAGATATATCAAAATAAGTATCGAAATAATATGAATATTAAATATTTATTTATTGTTATAATTTTTTAAATATCGATATTTTCAATAATGTGAAAGTAACTTCAAGGTCGTCACTAGTAGCGCAGCAGCTGTGATGACGTCATTGCGTGTCATCGTGTTATACCAGGGTTTACAAACATTTTGTTACTCTACATATAATAATCATTTAATATTTAATTTATTATTTTTATTGAAGAGTTTGTAAATGTAAGTTGTTTTATTGTGTTACATTATCGATACTGATAACGTAGTTAAGAGGGTTGACACAGTTTTTCATACACCCTGTATATACATTTAATAAAGATATATTTTATTTTAAAGATTTAATTCAATTCTAGTATATCTTTTACTTGATCACATAAGTTCATATACTCTAGATGTCGCTACTTGGACGTTCCACTTATTATTTATAATTTAACATCACCCTTCGTTATGTAGGAACTGCTATAGATATAAGCAATAAAATACTCGATAGACTGCTTGATCATTATTACAAAACTTACATGCACTAACAGATAATAATATATTTCTCTGCTATGTTCCAATGTAATACAGTATATACTAATCTAATATATATTTCTATGTGCTGTCATACCTTAGTGTCAGGTTCTTTGAGGTCCTTGAGGTCTGTGCTGCTTGTTGCGGGCCCTGGCAAAGGCCCGGGGGCGGAGGCCGGGGCCGGCGCAGGCGAAGACGTCGGCGGCACTAAAGGCGCGAGGGCGGAGTCCGAGGACGAGGTATCAGCTGACGCGGGCCGCGGCGGAGGACTCGGCCGGCGGGGGGCTGCCATTGAGGCTGTAAACGAAAATATAGTTTAAGAAACAAGTTAATAATAGCTAAGTGCGGTCAACGAAACAAGATAAATTATGTAAACTATGCTGACAGGTTGAGTTTAGTGTCCAATTTGTATGTCTGTTGTTCAATAGTATTGTGATATATAATTGAATTAATAAAGTTAATTTGTCGATTGTTATTTTTCTACATTTACATAATATGGATTAACAATAGTATTAACAAAATGTTTGTCTGTCTTTCTGTACAGTGTACATCAAGGGGAGATTTCTTTACAAAATCTAATATATGTAACAACCAGTTAATGTGAAGTGGTTAATCATTTTCAACTTCATACAATCCAGAAAACGTTATCACACGAAAACTAGACATTTAAATAAAACTATATTTTCGTGTTTGTTATGTATACTCACATACATTTAGTGTATTAACCACGTTTTGTTTCCAACACGAATATATAGTTTCATTTAAGTCTACATTAATACAACATATATTGTAAAAGGAGAAGGCTAGTGCGCACCAAACGATAATCTGACAGTTTCGAACGTCACATGATCTACATGTTACCTGTCTGTCTGTATGGTGGCCGTCTGTTATATATATATGTATGTACACCGAGTATCTAGCTAGTGGCCCGGTCGTAAGGCTGTGCGGCACACTAGCTCGCCGCCCGTCGCCGCTCGTGTGCCGCAGACCCACTCACCGCTCCCCGTGGGGTTATTAATGAATGTGACATAACTGTCTTGATAGTCGGCGGCGGCGGGCGAGGCGGCCGGCCGGCTGTCCCTCGAGTCGTTGTCGCTGCCGGCCGCGTCCTTGTGCGTGTGCGTGAAGTGGTACGTCAGCCCCGGCCGCGTCTTGTACTTCGCCCCGCAAACTATTCGTAAACGACGCATTAATCACATGAACGTTACACACAACTACAACACAAGTAACAAGAGCTCAACTCACCGCCGCGGGGCCTCCTCGCTAGCTCGCGCTAGCTGACTGTTAGAGCGACTTAGGCTACGGGAGGGAGCGACCGCCTTCGAACGGAGCATAGAGGAGGCGCCACGACGGGAGACGGCCGTTAGCATCAATCACTGATTGATGACGTCACAACAAGGATCCGCCCTCCGCCCCGCACGGACCACACGACGCGACCATGAGACACACGCGCACACACACACACACACACACGCACACAACGATCGTACATGGCCGCAGAGTGAGAGACAGACGCCATGTTAGAGCTATCAGTCGTAAAACAAATAACATTTCACTGGCATTCTATAATTTTTTATTTTCTTATTTAACATAAATATTCTTGTATAAATTCATAACAATCTTTGGGTGCTAATAATATTACGGATCTTATATAAGAACATCCCGATCGACCGCTTCATGAGCCGGACACGTGATGGCTGGGGTGCGGGGTCAATCAATAGCCAATACACCACACGTCTGTATTTACATCACTCCTAATGGAAGACAGAACATTATTATAAATTTTGTATTCAAGTTTCATGATCAGTGACATTAAACATGGCCCGGTGTCCGTCCAGCCGAGCCCCAGCCATCAATACAAATCAATTCCTATTTTAGCACGAAATCAAATAAATACACTATCACAGACACATGAGTCAGACATCCTCCTAGATGGATTCATATTAAAAAACAAAAAAACAATCACCACAGATTATAAAAAATTATTTGACCATCTAGAAAAATGTGTCACAAACAGCATTGAATATTGATATAACAATGTATAAACAAGCCTGGATGAGAATGAGTTCCACATCGAGCTACAAATCACACTACATACTATAATCTAACAAGAGTCATTTGTAGCTCAATAATTAATTACAGCGGCATTTAATACACAAAAATCATAATTAATTACACATTTCGTGTTATCCAATGCCGGTACAACAATAAGGCGTATTCGGATCCTATGTCTACAACAATACTTAACTAACATCTGGCAGTGTATATAAATTGGTGTTACAATTTAGTCCCTCTAATAATATAATGTTTTTTTGAACTTCTTTAATTGACTGCATTCTGATAGCTTCACTTACCAATTCATATGGATACACAACTGTACATACATCATAGTTTTAATACAAAATATATCTTACAACTGAATGTTTCCATTACACATCATTCAATGTAATAATAACACTATTTTTATACATTATTTTCAACAATAAATGCAGACAGAATCAAACTATTACCTTTTGTTATATAAAACAGTTCAAAAACAAATTTTAAAAGTCGAAATTACTGTTACATTTGAGATTCTCTTAAAACTAATATATTTTACATGTTATACTAAAGGACACCACAATAATGACATTTACAGTGAATTTATAACATGATACCTCCTTTTAGTACTGTGTCGGTTAGAATAACTATTACCAATATATTGTAAGTGACTTTTAAAACGTGATAAATTATCATTTACCTATATAGCAGGTGTAATTTTCTTTGAAAATGAGATATCTATCAGAACAGGGAGACTTTTTGCATGTCTGATGGAATTATGAAGATTTAATGTACTTCAAAGTTATTCTAGAGGTCTTACTATGAATAACAAAGTGTATAGAAAACAGCTAGTATCAATATATGAAGATTTATCCAGGTTGAGTAAATAGAAAATTGGTCTATGACAACAATAAAGGCCAAACCACGTACTGTGAAGATGACACCACTCAATGATATAGAAGAACTTAGCGATTTTTACTTCTATGACATCTATTCTATCCATTACTATCTATTTCCAGGGCAAAAAAAAATACATGGTGATGGTGAAAATACATATGACAATTTTTCCATCTAAATTCTGAGCTCGTTTTACAAAACTCAGAAGATTTTGTAGAAAATTGAGTCACAACTATGGACTATAATTGAAATATAAATATACTAGCTTTCCGCCCGCAGCTTCGCCCGCGTGGAGTTCGTTTATATCGCGTTTCCAAAAGAACTTTTCAAAAGTCTGGGATAAAAACTATCCTATGTTCTTTCTCAAGATCAACTCTATGTCTGTACCAAATTTCATTAAAGTCAGTTCAGTGGTTAAGGCGTTAAAGCGTCACAGACAGTTTCTTTCGCATTTATAATATTAGTAGGGATTGATAATTAAAAGCAGCTTTACTTATGATATTGGCAATTTCTTGTCAACACAGTATTTTGGAGGGATCATGTTATATCCTAATTCCCATGAGATACACCATGGGGTACTTTATACCCCTCCACCTTCACAATGAACCCATCAAATGACATTGATTTCCTTAAAATTTATTTAAATTGGTCCAGTGCATACCACATCAGATACTCATAAACAAGAACTCACTAACTTCATACTTACATGCCCAATTCAATACATTAATTTATTTATACAATATTGTAATTAAAAGAAAAATTTTGGCATAATTATTAAAACCTTTTTTTTTGTGGTTATTTTTCTTTTTTTATTGATAAAAGTAAGTAAATTTCAATCGGACCAAATAAATAACTTTATAATTGTGTGACTAATTTTGACTAACAACCCTAAAAATTCTAATCACCTAACTTTTTGTATAGAATTTCCATCTAAATGCGAATTTTTACACCATAATTAATATTAATATATATTCTATTATAAGTGCATGTTCTCTTACATTATATCAAAGATTAGTTTTTCAATATACAGGGTGGGTTTGAGCTTCGAGTTGCTTTCTGTCGATATATTTACTTAAACTTTATAAGTATTTGGCTGTTTTGAGCTTTGGTCGTGATAAAATCTTCAAATATAATGTAATATTAACAAAAAAAGATTTGAATCTATATACTTTTGACAATTCAATTGGACACAAACAAAATGTACTAACCAATCAGCGTTAAATATATTTCTTACATTGATATAATGATAATAAAAACTATCAAACTAGAACCCGGTGTGAATTCCAGACATTAGTGATAAATTATCAGGACATTTTTGACCTTAATCGATATAATTTGCCAGTTTGTTTACCATCTATCTTAAATGAATAAATATTAATATTACACCGATATTATACAACACTAGTGTCGTCTTCTGGACTTACGTTCACATCCGTAGGGCTTCTCACTATCACCGGGGACTTCGTACGGCAACAGGGCGGGGACTCCAGCACGTTTTCGACCGCGACCCTGGAATTATAAAATATAACAACCTGTATATAATTGTATTAAAAATTACAAAGTTTGTAAGGATATAGGCAAGTTTTGGGGAAGTTGGTAGCATTTATATGTCACAATATTTCTTGTTTATAGTAAATATGTTTATGGTAACGAATTTTATAAGCTAAGTAGTCACATACATAGTATAACAGTCTGTATACAATTGTATTAAAAATGACGAACTTTGTGAGGGTGTATGAAATATTAATGTTGTGGAGAAGGTGGTAGCTTTTATGCATAACAATATTTCTCATATCAATTTGCTTGATCACAGATGTTATTATAGTAAACAGATTTTGATGAAACTTTCCAATAATGTGGTAAGGACCTCATAATCATAATTAGGGCCCGGATTAATATGTAAATACATATTTTTAATTTAGGCGATTTTCGATTTAGAATGTACTTTCTACATAGATTGTCATATTTACACTGTGAAAAACCAACTTTTATTTTCAATATTTTACCATATTTCAAGTTAAGTCCATATTTTACAAGAAAATGTCACAATCATCCATATATTCACAAAAAACATAAAATTTACGTTCCCGCCACTAATGTTTTGGATAAAACTGAAGGATTTAATACGCTAAAAAAAATGAAATAAATTCTGTGAGGAAGTTTCGAGGGCTGTAGATATGGTTTGCACAATTACTGAATTAAGCATGTTTAAGTATGCACCCATCACGTCACGTGACGTGGAGAAATCATTCAGCAGATAGGGGAGAGTTGGTTATATCGTACTAGCATTTAAATAGTACCACTTCTAAATTTCCCATTTAAGGAATATTTTTTTCTACACTGACAACGCCAAATCGTGGCCCTGTACCCCTGTAATCCCTCTTCACCCACTAGTTTAAATCGACGAGAGTTAATAACTGTGCACGTAATAAAAGAAAAACATTTTTCGTAGGAATCAATATAAATATTGTCGTACATTCGTAAGGAGATAACTCGTAATCAAGGTAAGCTATAGTTATTCAGTTTTTTTTTATTATTCCATAATTGTATACTAGATTATTGAGAGTTTTTGTTGCGTGTCTAAGTTTTGAGTTTATGCCGGATATTTGCTTTTGTTTTAGAAATGCCTTAGTTGGTTTAATCGTACCACTTGCAGTTGGTTAAATTGTACTGGTTAAATTGTACTGGTTTGTACCGATTTACCCGACTACCAACTGCAAGTACTTATAGTACTACCGCAAGTACGTATAGTAAGTACTACCCAAGACCAAAAACAAAAGTTATAAGAGGAAACGATCTCATTCCATCACCAGTAGCGATGATTCAGGAGAGACACCTGTTGTAGAACTAGATGATGATGATGACAGCGATGATTATCTTGAAAATATATGTCGAAAGTGCAATTGTTCTTACTAGGATAAGAAGGGTCCAAAAGTTGATTCGATTCAATGCGTTCGCTGTAAACGGTGGCTACATGAGACGTGTACTTCGAATCCAGACATTTGTCATGATTGTTTCCATTAAGAAATATGCACAATAATTATATTACAAATAACATTCTTGTTAACTGTTACTTTATTGTTATAGTTTACTGTTTTTATGTATGTTGATTGATCTCATTATCATAGTATAATCATGTTATTTTACTGAGAAAGCTTATAGTTCCTTTATATAACCTAAGAGTTAAAAATTATGTTTCTATTACCTAAAAGATATAAATAATGTTGTTTTATTACTTACCTAACAGTTAAAAATAAATAATTTGATTGAGAATTTTTAATGTCTTTCGTTCAGTGGTACGACTTAAACACCCATGGTACGATTTAAAGACTTAGTGGTACGATTAAAACGACTAGTCGGCTAAATCGTACCGATGGCAAGCCTCTATAAAAAAGCATTTTTAACAATGTTAGAATAATCGCAAGGATCTGTTCTCTTCTTCTTAGGAAGCTAAAATATGAAGCTTTATTTTACATATGTATTAATTATTATAAGACGTGTTATAGTCGAAATATTTGAGTTAAAGTGAAAAGTGGTACGATATATCCGACTCTCCCCTATAAGGCTATATTTCAACCAAATGGTCAGTTTTCATTTTGATAATTTAAAGAAGCACGTCATTGTGTATTGCAACCAATTTGATAAGGCTAGTGTAATGGAAGTTGAATAAAATTGTTATTTTTTGTTGAAATAAATATTTCGCTATTTTTTTCATAGTTTTTTAAATGTAACTTAACGATGTATGTCACGAGTGACCCTTTTCTTATAGTAAAACAATGTTTAATTACGAAAGTATTTTATTTTATACTCTAGATTTTTTCCATATTTTTCCGGGCCCTAATCATAATGTACCTTTAAATTCTGTGTAGTTATCATTAGAATATATCATAATATACAGTGTCAAATGTCAAAGACAACACGGACGAAGTAGCCGGCAAAAACTAGTAAGCATAGAATTGTAGTACATACTTTGCACTACATACAAAAAGGTTTATTAATTTTGATCAGTTGAATATACAGGGTGACTGGTGAATTACTATCGATACTTGAGGACGTGATATTTGACGATCATATATGACAAAATAAAAATTAATATAACATAAATATTAATAAACTTCTAAGTAAAGTTAACCAAAAGTTATGTAATTAATTACGCATCGTGTGAACACCCTAAAGATCAGGTATACACACACGCACACACACACGTGTGGCGGCGTGGTGTTGTATCAGCACGCCGCCGCACGCGTCCACACTTGGAACACTTGGAACGTGTCCACACTTTATTTATTTATACGGAAATTTGGTCAAAAATTAAGTGCCTATTTTTATTACATAATTCGAATGAGAATCATGTACCGAGTATTCTCCTTAAATATTGATAGTAATTCACCAGTCACCCTGTATATCAAGAAATTTTTGTACTTCAATGTACATAACGCCATTTATTGACAATGGTTTAGAACTGTATCAAAGACAACATAAAAACCAATATGTTAGTGATGAATCAATACTATATCTTGTTTCGTTCAGAATAAATTATTTGTATAAATATTGTCATTATTTCCTCTTTAGGGAGAAACACAAAATTATTGTTTGAAAAGAAACTGGTTATACAAAACATTTTATGTATTATCACAGTTTAGTCCATTAAGTTAAATTACTTCTCATTAGAATGCTTGCATAGCATACATATTAACTAAATGTTTGATAGAATTTGAGTTGCTAGGAATTGTGACGAAAGCACGTTTTCAACCTCCTAGACTTAGGTCTTGGAACAAATTTGATTGTTATAGTTACTTGGTGATTTTTCATTATATTATTATGATCTTGCCATTTTAATTCTAGATTAATTCCATATACAAATTTATTTCCACCATTTAATTGATTCCCGGATGGACCCCAGCTAGTCAATAATATCAATATAAGACTGTCTTTATAGTCATCACTTACCGCTCGTCCTCTTTTGACAGGTGTATCATCGGGTTGGGACTTTCGGACCCGACCTCCACGTGAGCCCGGGCCGGAGGGCGCAGCCCCCCGTCTCTTGCGGCGGTTGGCGTATGTGTCGTCATAGTAATCTTCATCTGACTCAGGGTCGGGCTCCTCACCGGTTTCCATTTCCTCCATCGCTAACTCGTCATAGAACCATTCCTAGATGCATTTCATTCAAATGAAGATTATTTGTAATAGTAGGTAATACTTAAGACAATAGATTACATAAAAAGAATAGATATAATAATAACTAAAAAATGATATTCTTTTTATAAATAACATTATGCAATGAGTAGGTATATAAAGTTTTTTCTTACATCCTAGAAACAAGGATTTGTATATATCATAAAAAATCTATGACAATATCTTATTAAATAAGACTAAATTACTTATATAACACAATTATATAAGTTCAAGGGCATTTCCTTCGTATCTTTAGGTAATATTCAAATGGTCAGTGATTTCTGCGGCATCTACTGGGGATCCTGCATATGGATGAGGAGTAAATATTTTTGAGAGATGCTCTGAGAAATTCAAGGCAATAAAGTATGATTTACTCTTAATGCATACCTTAGGATCATCTTTAGCGGCACTCTGTGATCCATCTCTACTGTCCTCACCGACCAGCCCGTCGGGTATGCCGGAACTGTTTTCACCTTCACCGATATTATCAGCTGCTTCCGCTGCACTCCAGCCCCACCTCGTTGACGACATAGTAAGATATTGACGACGGGCTTTTCTCCATCTAGAACAAAATATAAACATTATATGTATGCAAGAAAAAATATGTCAATGTTAGTGATTATTATGCAATGTTTTATCGAATTTATTATTATTGTTTTTTAATTTAAATTTTGATTTACTACAATTATTGTATTTGCATGATGTGATAGCCTATAATTAAAAGGACATTTAAGTTATAATTAATAGTTTGATAATGTAATGAATGTAATAATGTTTTCTTTTGTTGGTTATTCAAATAAAATAAAAAAAAAGGAGAAAAGTATAGGTGCTTGCTTGAAAATGATATTATTGTGTTCAATTCAATATATCTACTAATTTATATTTTACGGATTCTGATATTGAAGTTTTTATAAGTAGTACTGATAATAGATGATAGAATCTAGTTCCAACTTGCGAACTTACCTTTGTGATGGGTATGTGTATAGCTGGCCCTCTCGTGCACCAGGCATTCGTTGTTTCCTTGTCATAAATAAGTTTGAATGACTCTGAGCTACACCTGTTTGAAAATTAACATTCATTATGAGTGCACCACGACTAGACAGCAGAACATTGAAGTTTAATCACAAAAACATGATATAATATATCAATAGTCTTATTTACATTACGTTTTATTTGGATGGCATTAAAACAAACCTGTCTGTGTGTCTATAAACGGCATCCGCATCCTCCGCTCGGCGCATAGTCGCGAATTGAATGTTGATGAGTTTTCAATAATCTCCTTATAGCTTGGGTCATTGAGAAAACTGGAAGGCGTTGACATCACAATTAATAATCAGAGCTAATTATTTAAATGTAAACAATTATACAAAGTATGCATAACAATGATAAAGATATAATATTTATTGAATATTACGATTCAAAATATAAACAAACCTTTCAATTTTCGCTAAATTAGATGGATTTACAACTTGAATCTCTGCGGCCGCCATTTTAATGTAAAGACGCCGATCGATGACATCTGCTGACACTTCAATATCCGGATCTAATAAGTGTTGCTGCAACTATAGTACGTTTCTTTAAATATTTCTGCTTCCTTTACTTAATGTATTAGAAACATTTAAATATATATCTTTTCAAATCAGATTTACACAAAAATAATTAGTTATACGTTAGTTATTTTTATATTTGTCATATATTATTATTATGAGAAACTACTAAAAGTATTAAATCATATCAGAAGCGACATAGCAACACTGAACTTACGTCAAGCTTGTGACTGGTCATCGCTGGACGAATCGTGGATCTGGCGCATTTTCAGTAATTGGTGATTGGAGATCTCCAAATATTACACTGATTATTGGTTACCCACTGTGTTTTTAATAACTTAGATCGCGGCTAATGTTTTTAGTTAGTGAAGTATAACATATATTATAAAGTTTTAATTAATTTCACGTTACTGAAGTTTCACACAAAACAAGATGTCCGTGTGTTTCTTTGTGCCAGCGTAAGTTTCTTCGCACATGATGCTTGTCATTTTTTTTACAAATTTTTAGCAATGAAAATATTTTGTAAATTAAACCTCAGTGTATTTATTATACCGTTATGTTTACTAATTAGTTTTATTATTTTTCTATCACAAGTGGCATTATTTTGGCATTTCCGCCAAATTACCATTTAGTTTTTTCTTTATCTTACAATTAGTCTAGATTTATTAACATTTTGTAAGCAACGTACGTACGTATTTACATTTTATAAGCGACAACATAAAAAAAGAAAATAAATACTTTACTCTTATTATTTTGTAACTTTAAATAAATTCTTGATTGCAATATTGTTAAACAGACTAGTGTAAAAAAATACTATTTGAAGCGTATTGCTATTACATAAACACTATGTTTATGCGTCTCGTGTAAATATTACTCGAATAAATATTAATGAATAGTATGAAAGTCAAAACTTTCGATTTTTATGTTTAATATTATAATAACTTCGTATTATTTACGTTTAAATTGGTTAAAACTTAAAAATTTTATACGAGCTTAAAAAATTAATTCTCTTGAAGCAGGTCTATAGCACTTTTCTCCTACTAGTAGTATAATTTTTTAATACTAACAAACTATCTTGCCGATTCATTATAAAAAATAGTCATCATATCTACGAGATAAATAAACAAATCCGTACGTTTACTACAAGTTTGCGTGCCACAAATACGGAACGTTTACCGTTTTTGATTCATAAACTTGCGATTATACGATAGATTAACATCAGTGGTGTGTACGTATAGTAAGGTTAATTGAATAATAAGTTTATGGTATAACAATGGTTTAAAGTACGGAATGCTGACTCTGAGCCATCGGTGCTAATGGGAAATGTCATATAACATACTAGCTTTCCGCCCGCAGCTTTGTCCGCGTGGAGTTCGGTTATATCGCGGTTACAAGAGAACCTTTCAAAAATCTGGGATAAAAATTATCCTATGTTCTTTCTCAAGGTCAACTATATCTGTACCAAATATCATTCAAATCAGTTTAGTGCTTTAGGCGTGAAAGCGTCGCAGACAGACAATTACTTTCGCATTTATAATATTAGTATGGATTCAGTATGGAGTCAATCGTTGCTTAAAGACTTTAGCAAGTAGATAATATAAGTATTTATTGTTAAATTGAATATATTTTATAAGTAAGCCTTAAAGACTTTAGCAAGTAGATAATATAAGTCTTAGTTAAATTGAAATTTTTTAAGTAAAATACATTTTTCTTGCATCTTTCGCTGCGGCCAACGTAATTAAGGTTATGGTTGTGTATTTTTTGTTGTATTACGTAATTAAGGTTGTGGTTGTGTATTTCTTGTAATAGTGACCAAGCCGGTACATCAGCTGGTTCTGAGGAGACGGAAGTCGATGGAGCAGAGGACGTACCTCCTGAGAACATCCAAAGTACACTCCAAGTGTTTTGGAACAAGGTCAATGAGGATATGAAGAAGATTAACTCCGTACGTAATGAAACTATCACGTTTTAGATGTTAGTCTTCGTTTCGTTTTTAAGATAAATATTACTCTTATGACGAGTTTAAATTTCATTTTTTCAAACTAAACCAACAGTTTTGTGTTTTTATTTTATATAACACGTTGATATAATTTTGATACGTAGTTAATTTAACGCAAAGTAATAGTACGAGTGCTGCTGAGATTTAAATTTAATTTGACGATTTCTCATTGTTTTGTGGTTGACTTTGTGTTGATAATTGTAGATTAATTTTCCTTTATTTTATTGAGATATAACTACTGTATACATAATAATAAATACAAAGAATATTATCATCATATAAATAAAGTTCCGATACAAGTAATGAATAAAATGTTAATTAAAATGAAACTTAAATAATAATAATAATACATATGTACCTATTAAATGACAGAAATGTCGTTTTTATTGAAAAATAAAATGTAACTGTAATTTTATAGTAATGTATATAATTGCAGGAGGATTTTAAAACTCAAGTCCTGCCTCTCGCTCGCATTAAGAAGATCATGAAATTGGATGAAGAGGTTAAGATGATATCGGCTGAAGCCCCGGTTTTGTTCGCGAAGGCTGCTGAGATATTTATACACGAACTGACATTACGAGCGTGGTCACACACTGAAGATAATAAGAGGAGGACGCTACAGGTATGGTAAGGAGGGAAGGGGGGGATTTGAAATATGGTTTGGGGTTTTGAGAGTGCCGAAAGTAGGGTTGGGATTTGAGTTACGATATTAGGTTTGCGTTTTTGGGAAATCTGAAGTAAGGGTTGGAATTTTGAGAGACTGAGGATAGGGTTGGGATTTTGACTTTTGATATATTTGAAATAAGCGTTGGTGTTTGAAAGTTCTGAAATTAGAATGCAAATTTCGGGGTTTGGTATTCAAATGTTCGTTATTACAAACCGTCATATAATGATTTCAATTAAAGAAAAAACAAAACGAACACAACAGTAGTGGCAATTTTAAAAATTTATAAGTCCTGTCCTTTTTTATAAATTTTACATTATATGTTATCTATACGTATTCTTTGTTGATTGTTTTAACTATGGAGTTCATCCGTGCAAAGACGTGCACAGTATGTTCTACCAGTGACGTGATGTATTCAAATTACAAACTATTTTTAAATTTTATTTAAATATAATGAACATTATGTTTAATATTAATGCTTAATAATTATTTCGTCTTTATTACGTGCTCATATAACAATCAAAGTTACATATTTCAGCGTAACGACATAGCCATGGCTATATCCAAGTCCGATCAGTTCGACTTCCTCATAGACATCGTTCCTCGACACGAGGTGAAGCCTGCTCCGGCCAGGAGAGACGAACCCAGACATGAAACGGTAAGAACTATGATGGGAAAACATGGATAGGGGTTGGAAATAGGTTCAAACCTTTATTTTATAATAGATATGGATTTTAAATGGGTTTAAACCGTTGTTTTGATACTAGGTAGGGATTGTCGAAGGGTTGAAACCGTTATTTTGAAAGTGGACAGGGATTGTTAACAGGTTTAAGCCTTTATTAGAATGAGGATCAAGCCTAGATAGATCAAGATAATTTTTGATATGTAAGTGGTTTAACAACTTTTAACTGTGATGGTGAACCTAATGGCTTCAATAATCATACTGATCCTTTCATAGAGAAGATCCTAGGATGTAAGTAACTTTGGAATATCTAAAAGCGTCAGTTTTGAAGCTTAGAACTAGCCATTGCTAGACCTACCTTAGGTCTACACATTGGTAACACTAATAAATATACATACTACATAGATTTAAAAATGAATTGAAAAATATGTGTTATTTTAGGTTCCGGAGTTCGTAGGAAATTGGTAACATTCAGTAGCAAAGATGTTTAGTATAGATATTAATAAATCCATTTTATTACAGGTACAACAGCCTCATCAAACGCCGATAACACAACCACAATTCGTTATTCAGCCGACGGCGCAAATAGTACAGGTATTGATAAATATATTACTAGCTATACTCTATTACATGAAAATGTAAAAAAAAAGTTATTTTGGTGTTTGTACCATGTATATATTTATATATATTACAAACTGTAAACAGACACTACAATTTTATTTATATGTATACCTAAATATATTAATATTTATCAACTTTCTCTGTACATTCAGATAGTAAAATTCTACTCCACACCTAGATCTAACTGATATGTTGAAAGTCATAATTCTATTCTTCCATAGTATTCTAGGCAGTTACTATATTTTATTATTACAGCAGCAACAGCAATCCAGCAGCACATCATCAGCACAGCCCGTATTACTGCAGCAGGTGATGACTGGCTCCGGGGAAGTGCAGCCATTACCGGTAAGACTTTTAGATTATATAATATAGCAAGATTAATAGGTAGATAGCAAGAGATAATCTTCTATATATATAAAAATGGATTGCTGTTCCTTAGTCTCGCTAAAACTCGAGACCAGCTGAACCGATTTGGTTAATTTTAGTCTTGAAATACTCCTGGAAGTCTAGGGAAGGTTTAAAAGGTGAGAAAAATTGGAATAATTGCCGGGAAAATCCTAAAAACAGCCCTTTTCTATTTCCCATACAAACGGTTTTTTTGACATTAGATTTGACAACTAACTAATATGTCAATTCTGTTTGATTGAAACAGGAAAAACCTGATTATTTCTGGCCTGTAAGACGGAATAGAGTTCGACTGGTCAGCTATACCTACATATATTACTCTTGACCAAACTAACGCGGACGAAGTCGCGGGCAAAAACTAGTTATTAATATTATATACTATTTGTTCTGGGAATACTTTTGAAACAATGCTTGTTTTTATATTCAAATCAAGGTAAATTTAGTTTGTCATTGTAAAATTAGTATAATTTTGGTCATCTTCCACTTAGTAATCATGAATATTGTTTTGTAACCACCAATTAGGAAATCATTGCTCAATTAGGTAAATTTATAACAAAAGCTGAGTATTGCAATTCATTTATTCCCATTATTTCCCTTACTTTTGTCTAAATATTTATATTCTTTCAATCAGAAAGCGAGAATTCCTTCCTTATTATAAAGAAACTGATCAATATGTATCATTATTTATATGTATATTTTCCAGATTCAACTGACCCAAGCCCAGTTGAACATGATTCGTCTCCAGGTACAAAATAACCCCAACCAACCAATCATCATTCAAGCACAGCCACAACCTCAGCAGTCACCGCAAATCATACAGGTATATAGAACTACTTATATGAATACCGACTTAAAAAAGGAGGTTGTGTATTTAACATCCATACTAATATTATAAATGCGAAAGTAACTATCTGTCTGTCTGTTACGCTTTCACGTCTAAACCTCTGAACTGATTTTAATGTTTGGTACAGACATAGAGTTGTCCTTGAGAAAGAACACAAGACTGTACTTTTACTTTACATAGGATAGTTTTAATACCAGACTATTGAAAGGTTTTCTTGGAAACGCGATATAAACGAAATCCACGCGGGCGAAGCTGCGGGCGGAAAGCTAGTATATTTATATGTATGTTAACTATTTTTTATGCTAAGATATTATAGTCAAGGAAATGTTTTTTAATTTGATTTTTATTAATGTCATTTCAAAATTAACTTTTCTTTTTTATGAATGATCTTTAGACCAATATTGTTAGAAATGTGGTTAAATTCAGTAAATCAGCAAAGAGTGAAAAAGTTTTTATGGATTAAGCATTTCTTATACTTGGCCATTGAATATCTAATCTTAGTGAAGATATATTTACTTGTTTACTAAATTTATTTCCATTTCCAGTCAATTCATTGAAAATAAAATACTTTAAATAGTAAATTCACCAACAGGAGATAAGAAATGACGAATCACATTTTAATATATAGAGCACTTAATAATTTTACTTTTAATACCGTTCTGATAGCAAAATTTCAGTAAGATTAATACTTTGAGATGAGACAGATCTTTTAACTCATACTTACCATAAAAACTTTTAATAACGTCTGATGTTTCATTATGAAGTATATTTTGAGATTCCTATTATTTTTATTTACTAATAACTCACCATTTTGTCCGCCAGGTGTCATCCCAGGCTCCACATCAGCCGCACCAAATATTCCTTACACAAGTCGCGTCCGGTCAAGACGAATCTTAGCGAGACCAAAATTGTACATACAATGAAGTGATGACGTCACACGCGCGTACATGATGACGTCACACGCCCTCTATACGACTGATGGTTTTATAGCGACTTTTTAACAACCCGTTAAGTTTAACATTTACAATTGGTTGATGGTATTGTAAAATGAAATGTTTTTAAAAAAATTGTTATTTATACATTTAGAGAATCGATCGATTAATTATATTTTTTATTAAACTGCAATTAGCAATTTATTATTTTTATTTTCACCTAGAAAAACGAAACATATAAATATTCAACATTTTAATCAAATGAAACCATTGTTTGAATTACTTTAAATAAAAAAAATAAATAACAAATCATTAACGCTTATCAGATAATGACAACTGAAATATAAATATTATACATTTTTTTTTATAATTAAATATAATAGTATCAATTGATATGATCCAGTACAGCTTGGACGTCTTCCTTCATCATTTTCACCATGAGCCTCTTCTGCTTACAGTCCTCACTCATCAGATCACCGGCTTTTTCTTTCAAACCACTTATAAACTCTTCATCTAAATCTTGAGACCTAATTATAATTACAGATTTATAGTAATTATTGATGAATACATATTAAATATATCGTCGGGGATAGTGCAAACATAGTAACTAGCGTATCTACATTGGAAGCATTATCAGAAGAAAGTTTAAGCTGAAATCGCTACTAATATTATAAATGCGAAATTAACTCTGTCCGTCTGTCTGTTACGCTTTCACGACTAAACCACAACTGATTTTAATGAAATTTGGTACAGATAGAGTTGACCTTGAGAAAGAACATATAGGATAAGGATAGTTTTTATCTCAGACTTTTGAAAGGTTCTCTTTGAAACGCGATATAACGTAAAACTAGTATTTTCTGTATTAATGACTTAAGATATTTTTTTCACAATTAGTGATTATTCATTGTTTAATTATTACCAATTATGAAAAAATAGCTTATATTAATAAAAATTTTGTTATACCTTCGTTCCAAATCAGCGAACTTCTTGTCCATAACTGCTACAATTTCTGTTATAACACTAACAGCTGTCTCCTTGTACAAGCGGCGACGTTTCTCCTTTAATTCTGTGAGATGTTTCTGAGCGTCCACAAACATACTCACGAATCTAAAATATTATTAAATTACTTCTATGAAATATGAATAAGTTTATTCTAACCTCTACTAGTTACGAATTATTATGGTTAAACCAATACAAATAGTGAAATCTAAGACTCGCGTTTATTCATTTAAATGAAACTAAAACTTTTTGGTATATACTGTCAATGTTTTATTGTTTTAAATGTAGTTTTAATATAATAAGGGAGTATGTAAAATAATAAACAACGCGTAGTGTAATCCGAAAAATATCAGTTTCTTCTAATGCAGATAGATTGCAGTTTTTCATTCATATATACTTATTTTGATACTACAAGTTGAATAGACTAGATGAAAAATTGGGAACTGTATACGTATAATTTGTCGGAATGGTACTAGAAAAAGTTAGAGCTTAACCCGCCACGCTACAATATGATCGGCGTGCGACATAAATAAAGTATTGGAAATGTTTTCTTTCATCGACAAGAACAGGTACATCTTACATACCTCTTCAACAGGGAATCGAACCCAAACATCACTTGGATAGTAGAAGTTAAACAAATCCGACAGACTGAACATTGAGGACAGATAATTTTCATTTATCATACTTAATTGAACTTTTATCCTACTAATATTATAATTGGGAAAGTTTGTGAGTGTGTATGTATGTTTGTTACTTCTTCACGCTCAAACGGCTGAACCGAATTTGATAAAATTTTGTATACAGGAAGCTGATTTCCAGGAATAACACACAGACTACTTTATAACCCGGAAATCCGCGGGTAACACCGCGGGGCGCAGCTAGTATTATAATAAAGTCCATTAGTGCCAATTAATACATGCAATGTGCCAGGAAATACATGTTAATATAGTAACATAGTTATATATATATTAGTTTACCTTCTGCTCGTCTGATCATGGATCTCATTGAGACTTGTGTCCAACTTCTCCAATATATGTTCCAAATTATCTTTGAACGGCAGGTCGGCACTCTCGGCTGAAGAACAATTAAACATATTGTAAATATCAAAGTATCAGAAATGAAATGCATGTTTGTTACTCATACATGCAAAAACGGCTGAACTGATTCTGATGAAAATTTCTGGTTAGGAAACTCGAAATATATAGGACATTTTTTATTTCGAAAGTCCGTGAGGCTTACTAGGAAAAAAAGTTGTCTTTTGTATGACTTTTATAAATTAATTCGATATGTAAGATAATTGAAAAAAATTGCCAAACTATTAATCAAAAACTGAAGCGCCTGAGCAAATTTTGATACAAATATTTGCAGTTAAAAAATAGAATAAAAGCCATGGGATACATTTCAATAACAAACACGTTTTTTGGTAAATCTAAATAAAGTAATCATTTGTTCTGAACGCGACGTCGCGCTTAAAACTTATATATTTACGTACCTTTATTAAGTTTCATACGTTCGTTTCTATTAAGCCAATCGCTGACACTGGAAATAGTCCCGCTGACTGAATCGTATCTGTTCCCGCGCCCTTTGTTAGATAATTCAAAGATCGGGGATTTTTTCTCTGAATCATTAATAGTACTAGCCGTTGGAGTTTTATCATTCTTTCTAATAATACGAGGATTACACCTGGATTCTGTCGTAGAAATCGCTGTTTTTGATATATTTCTGGTCATCAGTTTCTTTATATGGTCCAAGTATTCATCTTGTTCTGACGTAACCGATTTTTCTTTGGTCGTATCACCGAACATTTTAATCGGTGATATAACCGATTTTCTTGTTACAATTTTTGATTTTATCGTATTAGTTTGCGATGAGTTTTTCGGTTGTAGGCTCCTAGTGTGACTTCTCGTTATACGGACGGGTGAATCGATTTCTGAACTTTGATTTGAGCCGAAAACGGAATTGTATTTCGTTGGAAGCCATTTACTGATTTCTTTTGGGCTTAATCTCTTGATAGAAACTGTTGGAGATTGTACACTTTTGTTCAACTTTAATGGGGATTGTTCTAATATATTATGGATATCTTCTCGTAGTTTTGTATTTAAAGCGTTCGATTCTTCGTATATTTCCCTGGTGAGTCTGTCGAAGTAATTTTTCATGGATTGATTCAAGTCTTGCGTATCTAAACCTCTAGGTTCCACTTGTTCCTTCAGCAGCGTCAGATGCGGAGGTGATTCGTTCAAGTCACCATGCCCAGTTATTGGTGATTTCCCTAAAGTCAGTATACTCTTATCAGTCTTCTCAGATAGTTCCGATATATTTATAACTTGTATTTCTGAACTCTTCGATCTCTTAGTAATATTTCTATCGACATCGTCGCTTGGAGATCTTTTCTTTGATTTTTGTTTCGTTTCCAATTCCTCTGTCATATTCAAGACTGGATCATAACTGACGTGTTCCAGGTCCGACAGTAGGTTATGAGTGGTATTTATTTCTGATACATCTGGTAGCTGTTCATTTTCATATATATTTTTATATTTCTCCAACATTGTTACCGTGATTGAGTCATCGGCGTCTTTGTGTACTTGAGCGTCAACCGTTTCTATGATAAGTCCAGGTAGAGAGCTGGATTTCACTGATTGATCTAAATCACAAGTGGCTAATTGATCTTTATCACAAGTGGCTAATTGGTCTTTATCACAAGTCTCATCACCTTTGACCTTCAATGATAGATTCTTCCTTCTCCGAGTTGTTCTATTATTTGTATACGTATCTTCCATTACTTCCATTTCCGGTTTCTTATTGATATTTGGTTCAACTTCTTCGTGTATCGAATCTCTTCTTTCCTCTGCTCTTAATGATGTGTTTAACACGACAATTACTTCCCTCATTCCTTCATCAACTATCTCGTCTTTTTGTTCAGGAATATGTTTTTTTTGTGGCGTTCTTTTCTCTTTTATAGCTTTCTGTCTCGCTTTTCGTTTATTAGTTTGTGAAGTAGAATCTATTTTCTTCTGCGTATTATTGTTATTATTCCTCTTTGATTTTCTACTTCTGGTAGATCTGGTAACTACCTCGCTTCTCGTAGTAGACGATCTATTTTTCTTCTTTATATCAATTTTTCTCCTAAAATCTTCGTCGTCGCTGTCACTAGAGAAGTTATAAACATCAAATTTTCTTCGGCTCTTTTTTTTATCGGCTAATTTTATTTTCTCTCCACCATCATCCTTCCTTTTTAAATTATCAAAAATTGCATTCAGCTTTTGTGTCTTTGGTGAGAGTTCCTTGCCTCTTCCACTCCGTAACTTCCTAGCGGAAGATCGACGATTCTTCTGTATATTTTTATATGAGGGAGGCACAGTTTTTGGGGTTGAATCTACTTTTGGAGGAGCAGTTAACATGGAATGATCGTCTTCAGTTTCTGATATATGAACGCCGCTTTTTTCATTCACTTTGCGTTCATCTTTGGGTGAGTACAGTTTCCGTTTCCTGGTAGTCAATGGCTTATCTACATCACTTGGATCATTATTAGATTCAGGGCTTTTATTTAGGACACTTTTTTCTATTTCACTTTCCCTTTCAACGATAGTAGTCATTCTTTTGATTGGTTCAGTAATTAATTTATTTTGCTTTTTCGTATTTGCCGTGTTCTTCTTAGTGTATTGTAGTTTCAGTCGTCTAACATTCTGTCTGGAGTATGTTCTTACGTTTTCGTTGATTTCCCGCAGAGGTTCGTTTCCAGCCTCATTAATTTCATCGTTTACGTTAAAATTCTCAATTTCACTTCTCAAATATTCGGTACATTTGTCGAGATCCTCGCAGACCTTATCAACTATATCATTCAAACACTCGACTACTTCCGTGTCATCGAAATTGAACATGTAGTGTTGTGACCCATCCATCATGTTGCCATCAACATCAAAGTCGAAACTACTCTCTGAACTCGTTTCATTAATTTTTTTAGCTAGACTTGGACTAATAAGTAATTCCCCATTTCTGTTTTCCACACAATGCTGCGAGAAGAAATCTTCTACTGTATCAACGTCGTACGTCTGTTTGTCCCTTCCTATTTCATCAAGCTTATCTTCGAACGGCATTTTATCTTTAGCGTTCAATATAGTTTCATCTACAACACTATTTATTATACCTTTAGTACTAATATTAACGTTTATATCATTTTGCTGACTACCCTCTATGATATTAGTGTTAAAATCATCATTTTTCCCAAAATTAACTACGCCACAGTCAGTTTTATTGCCCTCCACCGCTTCTACGGCTAGTAACTGTACTATATTATCTGTATGTATTTCCCTGTCTTTCGGCAAACGTTCCAGCGTATCATTTATTACCGATTCATTCGAACCCAAAGTCGCAACAAGGAGACAACTGACTGAACTATCATCGCGTCTTGGACTCGTACATATGCTATCTTGCTCGGTAATTATTTCGTTGTGTCCCTTATTTCTTACGCCATAAGTGCGAAGTTTGTATGTACTATCTGTGTTCACGCTACACTTATCTTCTTCGGATATTTCAGTGACGCGACTCAGTTGTGGCAATGCACATACAGTTACTGGTTCTTTGTCGTACTTGTAACTGGGAAAGGCTGTTAATTTATCTCGCAGCTGAAATTTTAAGCACCAAAAATGTCATCAGTTATAGGACTAAGAATAATGTATTAATAAGATGTATTTTAATCGTTTACAAATCTTGGGAGATTTATTTAAAATTAGTACTTTAGTTTTATTGATTACATTTATGGACAAATAATTAAAATACTATCAAAATTTTGACACTCACAAGTTATTGAATAATATGTATATATCACCTTTTTTAAACGATATTAATACCAAACTTTACAAAGATAGAATAACCATTTATATAGTGTATATAAGACGATCAATTAAATACTAATTTTGAGATTATATACTGAATAGTTACGCTATAAGAAAAAATTATTGAAACTTTTAAATTTTACTTGACATATTGGCAGTGCACTTTCTACCATAATATTTTTATCGTCAAAAATCAAAGACTTTTTTAGTTTAATTCCAATCATTTAGCAAATCTAATTATGAATATATCTCAAGATTTTTATACGCTACTTCTATATAGTGTAGAATAATAATAATATAATGACAGACCATAGCAAGAGACGAGGTTGATGCTGATGATGGAGATTTCCATGAGTCTGGATGTTTGGTCCTTGCTATGTAACCTGGAATATTGATATATAATAATTGAGATTCAATATATTTAAATTTTGAAAGGATACCACGTACCTACGAAGCGTCTACCTTTTCTTAGTCAACAACTTACGCTAATACAATAGTATGCGTATATATATATGTATAAAAACTTTTAACGCTGCGTTACGTACGTACGTAGATGAATGTTTTCACGAGAAATGAAAAGAGATAGTAATCAGGGCAACATGAGTTGGAACATTTTAACTAAACACTTAAAAAACTTTAAAAACACTTAAAAAAATTCTTAAGGAATTTACAAAATATTTATGTCAGAAAAGCAATATAGTACAACATTGAAAATTTCACCATAAGGAAATAGTTACTATATTATTTGATTGTTTTGCAAGAAATCAAGAAACTTTCTATATACAGACGGTATAGAACAAGCGAAGCAAGGAACATTACATAGTATATAAGTAATATAAAGTTTAAGTTTAATTTAAAAATTAAATATTATTTTGACGACATTTATTCTGAAAGTGCTTTCGATAAACAAAGAACATACAATGCAACACAGAATAGTCATTTTAAATGTATTATTAAATAATGAGATCTAATATTTTCGCGAGTACTCATTTAAATGAAACTAATATTTTGGGATTTACTACGCGATTTTTTTATTTTCGACTATACACTATATACTCCCGACGTTTAATTTACTTTACAGCAACCGTGATCACAGACAGACGAGATGTCAATGTAAATACAAATATTTAATATAAGGAGAGACAGGGTGAAACATATGTATTTAATATAACTTACCTGAACGTGTTAATCTATTAGTATTGACGGAATTTGACAACCTCATTTCTCCCTGTAAAAAGTAAAAACAATTTATTTTACAACTACCCTCATTCATTACATATTCAATGTTTGACATAATATAAAATATACTTCAAAATACAAATATATTTTGTTAATAAAAGAGAGTATAGGAATCATAATTTTATTGACAAATATATTAGAAGACCCGACGAACTTCGTATCGCCCTATAATCAAGAAATATCTGTTACGTTTTTTATTTATATTTTTGGAGTTTACCTGTAAGCTATAAATCTCCGTGTTTTGAAGGGCGACAGAATGATTGACATATTAGTTAGTTGTCAAATCTAATGTCAAAATAAAACGTTTGTATCAACAACTACTAATAAATTAAAAATTAATTAAATAACATCGTCCAGCAGACAAAATTGTGAATCTAAACCATTCTTGAACACACACAAAAAATTTAATTAAAATCGGTCCAGTAGTTTGAGAGGAGTTCAGTGACATACACACTCACAGAAGAATTATATATAAAAGATATACATATATGTATCACTCACCACATTCTGTTGCTTTTTTTCGTCCGGTGAATTCGGCAGAGATTTTTGTAAGTCTATAAGAAGCTGGAATAAAAAGATTATTTGAATAAATACACTTAGCATAAAATCTGCCCATATCTTAATATCAAATTAGGTGATGTAAAAAATATTTCTAGATTTAATAGAAAAAATTATTTAAGAGTTTTTGGTATGTAAAATATTGTATAAATAATATTTGTCCATATATATTACATAAATATATCCGCTATATAGGATTGTAATGATGACACCACAAACTTAAAACACATAAACCTTTCAAAAAATCATATTAATAAATAAATGTGCAAAGGAATTCATTTGCAAGATTTCAAACAAACACACATACATACATACACACACACACACACACGCATATACATATAAAAAATATTATATCCTACTAATATTATAATTGCGAAAGTTTGTGACTGTGTGTGTATGTTTGTTACTTCTTCACGCTCAAACGGCTGAAGCGATTTTGATGAAATTTTGTATACAGGAAGCTGACGTCCAGGAATAACACATAGGCTACTTTACATCCCGGAAATCCGGTAACACCGCGGGGCGCAGCTAGTAAGAAAACATAATTAAAACCATTCATACCTCATACTTTTCATCAAATATCTTCCTCAGAGCTTTATCCAGCTTAATAATACTCCTGGAACTGATCAATGCTTGGACCTGGTTGTCTTTTACAGCTCTTGATGGATATAATAGCTGAGGGTCCAACACCCTCGCTGATATCAACACTTGGTTGGACTCACTGAAATATATAATTTATAATAATAATGTTTATTTATGCTAAACACATAACAATTGTATAGACAATAACATAATCTGATCACAATGCATAAAGGTAAAAGGTATTATATGTAAATAAAATCTACTGTCCCTGAGCTAGGTATACCTGTATTTCAGGCAACAGTAAGTATATTTAATATGTACTAGTACAAAAACATAAATATTTAAATTGGTTTTATATATATATAACAAATCAGTCCTATAATAACAAGAATGCTGCACTGGTTTTGATGCAATTTTTATAGATGCATTAAAATACATACACATTCAGCTATAAAATATTGTTTAAATAAATTATTAACTTAACAAAACCCAGGACCAAAACTAGTATTTTACCACCAATATACTTCTACTAAATAAAATTTTAAGTATATCTATATATAATACCTATACATTTTTATGAAGACGGTGTTTTCCCTGCTAATGACCAAAGCATCAGACTCAGATTTGCCCAAAATATCTGATAGACTCGGTTCAACTATCAGCGACACACATTTAGTGCTGGAATTCACATCCAAATAATAATCTCTACTCGGCTCCTGAAAAAATACATTATTATATTAAAATATAATAATAATAAAGAAATATTTATAAGTATTTTTAAGTATGTTCTCACATTAATCAAGAGAAGATTTCCGATCATAAATTTTCTGCATATAACACTAGTAACAAGTTCATTTCTCCCATTATGACAATTTAAAAAGTCTCTGGCGTCCTGCAAATTGTAAACAAAATATTTAAAAATATATTATATACATATATATATATATATGTTGATATATACATATATATTATGTGTCTACCTTACAAAAGTTCTGCCAGGGTCGTTCTAAGAATATACACCTGGTTGAATCATCATACATTTCATCTGGAAACCAAAGTACCGCTGCTTCTTTCCTTAATGCCAGGTCATGCCGAGGAATGAGCCAACGTAATAATGTCTCCAGTATAGAAAATTGGACTCTAATATCACCACATGATGAGAGTATTGTGGATAACTTCACACTTAGAAGATATAATATATGTTAATACAGTTATTGCTATGATAATAATTATATTACATATTTATTGGTGACTCACAAATAGTGTCCAAGTTTTTTTCTTAACGCAAATCTTATTTCGCGACTTGATTCAGCGCATACAGTATTGATGCACCGCAGTATTTTTTGCCTCTGATGAATACTGGGTTGGGTGCTTGTAGCCAAATCTAGAAGACATTCGATTAAGTCCTGGACTAATATATTTGATAATGTTGCATGTTTTGACTGTATTTTCTGTAAATTTAAGATGTACAATTCATTATTTTGAAATTTCAATTAGTATGGACTTAAAATATTATTGAGAATAAATTTTAATAAGATTATTTATAGTAATTACCAGAATGAACTTCAATAAAATGCTAAGAAAATTCCACCAATGATCATTATGATGTATAAGATGTTTCCTTACAGCCTCTAGCCAATATTGTAACAATATAATTATTTCTTTTCCAAGAAGACTCCATGTTTTTGATGGTGGTAAATGTAACATTAGCTCAAGTATTCTCACTCCTGCGCCACTCTCATCGCATTTATTGTAATACTGTAATAATTGTTTACGGTAATTTTTCGTAAAGAAAACGAAATTTAAGTAAATATAAAATTACTTACTTCAATTTCTAATGAGCGAATTTTTTTAAGCGAAAGAACAGTAGACATATTGAATTGTATTTTCGAGTTACTAGGTTTATTTATAACTTCTTGGGTAGCTACTATATAATCATTAAGATTATTCACGGTCCTAAGAATTTTGCTTACATCCATTTTATTAAAGTTAAGTAAGTAAAGTTAAAACACTAAAAACTATAAAGTGAAATGTAAATTTAAATCGACGCACATTTCCCGCGAACAGAATTTTAACTTATAGATTTCTTTTGACTAAAACGTACAGATTATATAATTTATATTATTTAATTTATTTATAGTGGCAAATTTGAAATATATTTGTTTATAAAATAATAAAAATAAATGCACTTATTAATAGGTATTTATTAAATAGTTTTATATGATTTTTTTAAAACAAGGTTATGGGATTTAAATTCAACCTTGCCATTAAAGGCTTGAAAGCTGGAAATTCCATAAACGAGAAACTAATCAAGACCAACAAAAATTATTAGTTGTCAGACATAAAAGTTCCATTATCGCAATAATATCGCAAAAATGTCCTAAAAATGAATTTTTAAAATAAAATATACAAGATTAGTATGTTATAGTAATACATACATTTCCAAAGCTATCACAGCATCTTATATTATAATTATTTGCAAGTTTTATATATATCTTTTAAATATATCGAAATATTTATTTATGATACCTTAAAACGATTAATTCTAAACTAAATATTTTTTGTTAGTGCAACAGCAACATTTTATGTTAGTGCGACATTGCACCGCAGCAAACTAGAAAGACATTCAGAAATGACGGGCGGGGGTTGGTTTGGTCGGTTGTGTTATACTGTCACATGTATATTCGCGATAAAAGTAATCGAAAAATTATAATGAAAAATATTTTATCAGTAAAAATGTCACGATAACGCATGGTATATCACTTATCTACGCGTGTAAGTTGTCAGAGTTCTCGTGTTATATCTTTTCAGTGCTACGATCGCATCATAACGCACGGTACAAGACACTTGAAACTAGTCGATATTATGTGGCCGGAACGCGAGAACGACAAAAGAATATTACAATTATGATGCCTATGGTGTACACAGTGTATGGGTTTTGCCATATTTTTTATGATCGCGTGGATTTGTTTGTGGCTAATACACATTATGGCTCTGTCATATTCCAAGTGGAAATTACATCGGACTGTGGACCGGTCTCCGCCGGAACAACCGTACCTCGGCGTTTCTATCTTGAAGCCGCTATCTGGTGTCGACCCTAACCTGTTCTCTAACTTGGAAACGTTTTTTTCGTTAGACTATCCAACGTACGAACTGCTATTCTGTGTGGAAAACGACCATGACCCGGCCGTGATGCTCGTCAACAGCTTGATGCACAAGTTTCCTCAAGTGGATGCGAGGTTATTCGTCGGTGGATTGAGAGTCGGTGTCAACCCTAAAATTAACAATATGCAGCCGGCATATTTGGCGGCAAAATATCCCTTAATACTAGTGAGCGATTCCGGTATACGTATGCGGGAAGATACACTATTAGACATGGTCCAGCATATGAAAGAAGACGTAGCCATCGTCCACCAGATGCCATTCTGTTGTGACGCTGACGGTTTCGCGTCTGTTTACGAGAAGGTCTACTTCGGGACGGCGCAGGCGCGAATGTATATGGGTGCGGATTTCCTGGGCATCAATTGTCATGTGGGCATGTCGTCCCTGGTGAGACGATGTGCGCTGGAGGAGACGGGTGGCCTGGCAGCTTTCGGCGAATACCTGGCAGAGGACTACTTCATGGCTAAAGCGGTCGTTTGCCGCGGCTGGCGGATGAGGGTGGCGTCGCTACCTGCTCTTCAAAACACCGGTTCCAAGTCAGTGGGGGCGCTCCAAGCGCGTCTCAAGCGCTGGGCGAGACTTCGCATAGCCATGGTCCCGACGACAGCGCTCCTGGAGCCTCTCAGCGAGTGCCTGCCGCTGGGCGCGGGCGCGGCGTGGGCCGCCGGCGAACTATTCGGCGCGGAGCCGCTTCCGTTCTTCCTAGTGCATGTGTTAGTGTGGTTTCTATCGGATTGGTTGATGTTGCGTACAGTGCAGAACGGTTCGCCGCCGTTCACTAAAGTTGAGTTTCTGCTGGGGTGGGTGTGGAGCGAGGTTTGTGCTCCGTTCGTACTGGCGGCCGCGTTGCTGAACCCAGAAATCTCGTGGCGGACTCGCAGCTACCGGCTCGACTGGGGCGGCCGCGCCCACGAACTCAAACCCAAACTCAAGTTCTGAGCGACACCCCCCTCCTTTTATCGAAAGCTTTAATTTGGTGTATGTAGATTACATTATGTGTAATGAGTGTATACCTTTCAATGCACCAGAATTTGAGTGTGTTTCTTATATTAGTATTAAGTTTTGATTTTAAATATTAATATTTATAATTTTGTATTGAACGGTGGATACTTGTTATTATTGTTTTAGAGGTTTTGTATGTTTATAGATTAAAAGACATGTCTGTAACATTTTTTTCTGATAGTTGATTACGTGCCATTCGGTTGAACTCATGAACATATATAGTGTGTAGTTATCATTCTCAGATAACCCAACATGATAGGTTTCCCTCCCATAAGGTACACAGACAGTCATGTCTCTGGGGAAATAGTGATTCATTACTTTTGTACGCTGACCCGTTTTTATGAGGGAGTGTTTGAATTACTGATGGCCAAGGTAAACCCAACCATCCACATACAGCAGCTAAATATTTTATGATGTTAAATCATTAAAGTTTCATCAGACTATCGGGCAACAGTTGAAAATAATTAAAACTACCAATACCGTTACAATTCTAAATAACAAACAGGGTTCGTCGCTAAAATAGCTTCAACTTTTTTTGTACATTATTGAATTTTATTTGTACCTTTGGACCGTGAGATAAGTTACCATTTAGACCTGAAATGGGACCAAGCGAGGTTTAATAATTATTTTTTAATAATGTAAAAGAAATTGTGGTCGTTGATTTTCAATTGTATTGAGAGAAAAGACTGTAATTTTCTATAGTATGTCCAAAGGTACGTTTTGTTTTTTGAATATAGCATGATTTATTTTTTGACATTTTTTTTTTATGTGCCATGTATTTTAATTTGCTTCGGACATTTAATGAAACTGAGCAGTGAACGCGCAATAATAATCTATAAATGAATGTGGATAAAGTAATGTCCTTAAATAAAATTACCGTAAAAATATTTTATGGTTACAGTAAAGGTGGCACTACATTTGGCGTTTTTTGTTGTGTTCGGCCAAATAAGACCATGTGTGGAGGATTTATTCGTCTTCATTTGACATATTTGCACAAATAAGACACATACACAAATAAGCGAAAACGCGTAACGTGTTGTTGGCATGCCAAGTGTGGATGTCATGTTTGTGTTATTTGGATTACGTACAAATATTTGGACAAGTGAAGTGCCACCTTAATGTGTATATACACAAGAAGACACTTCAGACATGGCGATATAAGAACTTTTATTGTGATATTGGATTTATTTTAAGAAGCATACATCAAATTTGTTAATTGTTTAATGTTTTATTTATGTTCGCATCTAAAAGCCTAAGGAATCCGGTTTAACAAAAAATTTAATTCAATTCAAATTGTGTAACCGTGGGGATTCCATATTTTAAAGTGACATATATGTATAATAAAAGTACAATTTTATAAGTACGATATCTAATATCGCGTGTATGATAATATTTATCTAAAAGGACGCGTGTTAATAAAATTGTTAGTATCTTTACTTGTGACGGCCGAGTGACGGCTTTTTACATAAGCTTCATTACATCACTGAAGTACATTTTTTTTGCTAAAAACATTGTTTTATGTTCCAAATTTAAATATTGGCGGGCATATTTTTTTTCGACGCCGAACTTTAAGTTAATGACGATCTAAAGTAATGTCAAAAGATCTGTGAATAAAAATGGGCGAAAATATATAACGAGTTTCATTTCAATATAAATTTGACGAGATGGTAATGTCGCTAATGTGAAATCCCATCATACAAGCTTAGTATGAGGTTAATCGTTGTTGAAAACCGACAATACTATTTCTCAGTCGTTTTAAACTACAATACTTTCTGTACAATACTATACGTATTTCGGTTTTCGTTAACTTTAAACTTCGTACAGTACGTAATACAAAAGCAATGTTCAATAATATTAAGAGACTCATAATAAAACGATACTATGAATAGTCTATTTAATTACATGGAGTTTTGGGCCTGACAGCGCGTACAATAAAAATCACTATTGCCAGATTGTTTGAAATTTACCTCTTTTATTGTTTTTTTTTAATTGGACTTGATCTTGTTTAAAATAAAACAAGGTCCGAAGCGTACAGACAGGTTTCAATTCTGTATAATAGTGACTCGTTTTAAATTTTGTCTTTAAAAACGAGAACGTTGAGCATAATAAAATATATATTTTAATATAGATAAAAACATTTTTTATATATTTCGTGACACAATGCTGAGTCATATTGGACTATCGATGACAATGTAACAAACCTTCAACCTTACGAATGTCATCATTTGACCTGATTTTGACGTTTGGTAAAACATTTTTTTTTTATTGTCATAAAAGGACTCATTAGCCTAATAATTACAGACTGTATTTAAGTATTTATGATATACATATTATAAACAAATATAAACATTATTATATTTGATATTAAACAGTAGATTAAAAGTTTTTATCGATATATTTGTGACTCTTAATTTTTGTTTTCGATAATAATGGAAAGCTTTTTCTTGCAATAAAAAGGACAGTGAAATAGATGTTTAAATTTATACATGACGTGAACTGACGCCATTAAAATATATCAGTAAATTATATGAAAGTATATATTCCATCGGTTTTTCGAGCTAATGATGTCATTCGTACTCAATAATATATAAACCACGACGATTGCTAATCAATAGAGCGTACAAACAAAAAAAAAATAATCCAATTTACCGGTATTATTACTTTCCTAGGTATTCATGTTTCATAATAGGTCAATAACGTGACCTTGACGAAATACATTTATCGGATATAATAAAATTAGTCAAAAAGCATATAATATATGATTGCAAGTATCAATATTAACATTGCAAGAATAGGTAAGTTATTAAAAAAGTAATATTTCTAGAGCAATAAAAAGTTAAATTGAATGGGTACTTAAGCTATGAACACGGTTTTGTGAAGTAATATTATCAAGACTGCATATTGCGAACCAAACCAACATCTTCAATTTTTATCTGCGGTAATAATATTTAAAAAAAAATGTCTAACAACCCATTATGTCAACGTTATCTTGATAAACGTGTTTTTCTACATATAATTATATTGTATCACCCAAGGAAATATTAAATAAAATACATATGGTTGGTGATCTTTTCAAAAAAAATAATTGTCTCTTAATTTATTTATAAAAACTAAATACAGATAATCTTATATACAACGAAAAAGTAAAAATATCTAAAATATACATTTTCCAGTTTTTAAAGTACATTATGTTTTATGCTAAGTAAAAGAAATATATAATTTTTAAACATTCAAAAACTGGTTTTATAATATGTAAGTGACATCGGCATTATAAAATAAATTATTGAACATTAATTCAAAGATATTGTTTGTAAATATGTATTTGCCTGATGAGAAAATATCAAACAAAAATTATATTATTACTTACTAAGTTATTTTAATATATTTAATTTTTTATCTGTTAATAATTTAACTATATATCTACTGCCGTAGTTGAAGTATGTAATTTGACAAATTGAACATTTTACCGCCATTATTCTATTAAACAAACTCGTTTGTGTTTTTTTTCATTTATAATACAAAATCATATTATAATTTGTTCACTAAATAAAAATATTGACAACAAAAAATTTTAAATAAAGAAATGTCTCAGTAGTTAATGAAAAAAAGTAACCTTACCCCTATAGTCTTGGATTGTATATAAAATTAGTGTAAATTTCGTTGCGTTTTTAAATATAGATTCCATATATTTATCAAAGAGGTTATATATGTATAATCTCAAGTCTTGTTACTCTTCATATATATAAGGGTTTATCTGTTTTTACACACGTACGTCACATGACAAATCAAAGAAGACCATTGTGCGAGAAATGAATAGTAATCGTGTAAAATATAAACACATTTACAAGGTAAATGGTAATGCAACTATATTTCCTTAATAACCAGTTCGTCGTTTTAAATTAAATTAATGCAATCATTTTTTTCTTAATGCATTGCTTATTGTTGTTTCATTTTATTCTTAAACAATTTCAGGTGTGAGAGTAAAGCTGTTTTGTTTAAGTAATATAATAAAATATTGATATTAGTAAGGGATATTATCTGTGGACTTTGATTTCTTAAATATTCAATGATAAATTTATCGTATCTTATACGCGTTTATTCGTACCTTTGATAGTCACACCTACTATAAGTTCGCTTTATACATAGCTTATCAAGTTTTTCTATCAAGTTCATCTATCTGGCAATTTCAAAGCTGTAGCCAGGGTCTGCCTTACATGTTGTGAATAGTTTTGGCTAGTTGTTTTTACGACCGGCCGCCTGCCTGACATCAACCCTCTTTGGGAATGCATTAATCAGTGATGTCTAAATACTCTTAGAAAGAATATATGACTCGGCAAAATCACATTGGTGCTTGCCAGGATAATATATATGTATATATATATATATATATATATATATATATATGACGTCATCTACCTATGATACATTTTGTCTCATCACGAGATACATCTCGTGACCGCGGCTTCCCTTGCGTTAATATCTGCATTTAAGATGCATATGAAATAAATTAAAAACATTTGTATCATAACAGATCGTAACTCATTAATGAATTTTTGTTAATTGAATGGTAAATGTTTGATTTTAATATTAATGCAGTTTAAATTTTGACACTGAAATCTTTTATTTTTTGGGCTGAAACATACCTGTCTATGTACTGCCTCACCTTTGTACTGAAAATCTATTTTATTTAAGAATTATTAAAAAGAATCGGAAATACATCTAGGTATAATAAGTTTGTTTATCTTTGTATCGTAAACAAAAATAGTTGTAAAAGTGCTTTCTACAAGTCAGCAGCGTCGCTACATTAACAGTTTTGTTTACGTAAAACTGCTAATATTATAGTATTAATGTAGATTATTAAATGAATGGTATCTAGTGACGATGTAAGCTTGGTATGAACCAATGTATGAGGAGAGTTTCATTGCAAATATAAACAG